GAAGTTAGACTGAATCTTAATTTCTGGCTGAAAATGTTATTTAAGCTTCCACATATTTGCTTCTCCAATTCTTCTCAACTTCATCCAAAGTGTCTGTCTCCAGATGAGACAGAAGCCACAGAACTATCACAATGTGCTTTTGCAATAAATAGCCACACCTTCAGGGTACTGGCAAAAGAAGTGTTAGTTAAAGCAATAGCATTATCACTTCTGTATCAATTTCAAGCACCATTGAAATATCCTTTTTCTTTTCCTTTGCAAACATTAAAATTTAAATTCATGAACATTATTATTTTTACAGTAACTCAATTTAGTTCTATCCTGTCACCGTCAACCACCAATGATCATCCTGGTATTTGCAGATAATGGCTTGCCAAAAGCAACTTTTGCACAATCATCTCAAGTACCACCATGGGCACAGTACATGCATAATTTTCAAGGTCCTGCATTCCAACAGTTTCCCCCATATCAAGGCTACTTCTATCCCGGAATGCAGGTTCCCCCGTCATATTTTCCAGGAAATGGACCATGGCCTTCAGGTACTGAAGAATCTGGTTTGGGCCATCATGCAGATGATGATCGGAAAAGTAAATCTGTTTCCAAGAACAAGGACAAATTTTCAAATAGAAGAAAAGAGCGTACATCTAAGCATAGTGATAGCAATGAGCCTAGTTACTCCAGCTCAGCAAGTGATTCAGAGGACTATGAGGATGATGGAAAAAGGCATTCCTTGGATCAGTTGCCTAAGAAGTCTGGAAAAAGTTCTTCGCGGAAGGTTGTTATCCGCAACATAAACTACATTACTTCCAAAAGAAGTGGAGAAAGAGAGAGCAATTCTGAAGTTGATTCGTCAGATGAGGATGGATTCATAGATGCTAATTCCCTTAAACAGCAGGTGGATGAAGCTCTTGGATCATTCGATAAACGGCACAAATCAACATCAGGCAAGAACAGAAAACGGGATGGAATCAAAAAACACATCAATGAAACAGATGGTCTTGCTAATAGGGACATTGAAAATATATCCGCAGCCATAACTGACGGAGAAAAGAGAACTCAGGAGTGGGATGTTTTCCAGAGTCTTCTTATGAAGGATGCAGACTCAGATTCAAGAGCGATTGACACTAGCCAAAGCACCGGAGAATATCACGAGTATATGACCAACAAGTTCTCAGGGGGACAAAAATTTTCGTCCTTTAGTGTGGTAGCAGAGGATGTGCCAAGAAATCGTGGTATTGCAACAGATGCTTTTCTGTTGGGAAAAAGGTCTGTAGCTGATGAGGGTATACCAAATATGGCAAATTTTGATGCTGGGGAAAATGTCCGTGCTGTAGTAAAGAGTGGAACTGCAGATGAGGAATTATTACTGTCACAGAGATTTGTAGGTTCAGAAGCACATCGCCAAGCTACTTTGTCTGACTGGGGAACTGAATCATCCATCATGAAGAGCCAAAGAGAAGAAAACTGGTTTGTTGGCAATCGACCAGATATATCTGGAGATCACACGATGTTTAATGGTCAAAATACTCCTGCCTACGGTGTTGAGCCTTTGCAGATTAAGGAAAGCAATAAAGATGTTCTCGTTGACGACTCATTCATGATTCAAGCTGGGCCAGTTGGTGGGCCATCCATTGACGAACAAAAGACTGATATTTTTCTGGAAGCAGATATGGCTGGTGCAAACCAACATGATACTAGCAGACCTGATGATGCACAAGATAAGATCAGAACTAATAATGATTATGAACCAGATGATCTCTATATGGTGCTTGGACGGCATTCGGTAGCTGAGCAAGTTGCTGCCCCTTGGAATCCAGAGATGGACTACAATGATAATTCATTAGCTGAAGCTGTGAAACAACAGTCTGATGTTGAAACAAACGATTCTATTGATGTTAAGAAGCTCCAAAATGTTAAATCAACTAACACCACTACTGGTAAGTCTCAAGTCAGGTCTAAAACCACAGCTGGATTACTAAGTAGGAGCAGATCAGAATTGTTATCAAAATCTGGGAACACTCCTTCCAGAAGCAAAACAATGGTTCACAGGAGCAAAACTGATCAGGTAAACATCAAACCTTATTAGTCCATGGAAATCACATAGAACAAGAGTTACGACTACCTTTTGATATGCAGTACCTGTAATTTGTAATCACAAGTATAAAGAGTCTTTTCCTTGGCATTAGCTCATCTCCTTGCACATTGAAGTTAGTATAGGGTTGTAAAATGACTTGTTTGGGCTCATTAGACTATATCCAATAGTGTTTTACTCATTTAATCTATTTTACGCATTTGTATGATTCACACCACTTTCTTCGATGTCCTCTTACCTTCTCTGCATCTCGTTGGCAGGAAGAAGAGAATAGAAAGAAGATGGAAGAATTACGCATTCAGCGCCAAAAACGAATTGCTGAAAGAAGTGCCACCAAGGCGTCCCCTGCAGTAACTTCAAGGATGACCACAAAGGAGAACAAGAAAGCCACATTGTCTGCAAATAATGGGGAGACTAAGGTGCAGGCTTCAACTCAGGAGACAACAAAATTACACAAGCCTGTTTTCAGGAGTTCCACGATAGATCGCCTATCTGCTGCTCGGACAAGTGATCTGCGATCATCAAGTGAATCAAAAGCAGGCCAAACTAAAAAAGCAACAATGAAGGACAGTGGACCTCAGAACAAGAAGGTAAATCAAGAAAAGTTGATATTCTCAGATAAGAAAACTGGTGCAAAGGATTCCAATAAATATTCTTCTATTTCTGATGCTCCTGGAAGTGATGATATGGCAGCAGTGAAATCATTGCAAAACAAGCAAAGCAGGCCGAAAGCTACACCAGGTGGTTTGCGCGAGGAAGCTGAAGATATTAAGGAGTTGCACAGTATTTCTTCAATTGATAAAACTGAAAGAGAGAGAGACTTGCCAGTGCCGATTGAAAATCATTCTGCTCAAACAGAACCCTTGAGTGTTAATGTTGAGGATACAACCAAGGCATCTCTGGTGACCAACGATTATACTGGATCAAAGCCTGAAATGAGCGGTTATGAACTACCTTCCACTGCTTCAGACGTTATGGAGGATATTATGGTGAGTGAAAATTTTCCTGTCTTGCCCAAGGTTTCTGTGTCTGAAGTCTCAACCCCACCACAGAAATGTGACACAAGCCCTGAATACCACAGCCGTAAAAAGTGGAACAATGGTGAAACCTCCCCTAAAATCTCCAAGGGATTCAGAAAGCTTCTATTGTTTGGTCGGAAAAGCTGAAAGTCTCCCGGAATTGTTCCGACCGTACGCTAGTCCAAATTCTTTTATTTGATTTGTGAAGCAGTTGATTATTAATTGAAATTTTTGTGTGCCAGGTAGATAAAGAAATGAAATGATTTCGATTCAATAAGGCCTTGGGTTTTGTTGCCAAATGAATATACATCTAAACAGGTTATCTACAATTCCTATAGAAGAAATGTAAGAGAGTATTCTTTGTTTCACGTGTCCAATAAATTTGAATTGGTATAATATTCTTTGTGAAATGTTGCCAATATGATCTTGTAGCATTCTCAATAGCACTGTAAACTCTCTCCGTTTGTGTGTGAAAATGTATTTATTCCTTTACTTCTGAATCTCGCTAGGATTATCTCATGTAATATAAGCTTTCTTTATATTGTTCAAAAAGGTACTTGTGTTCATCTTCTTTAACTGTGGTATTATGTACATTGCTGTTGTATAGAATGTTTTGCATTTGAAAATTCCAGCACCATTCAAAATTCAGATGTAAAACCAAGGGGATAAAGAAATAGTGACTCGAATTACTTTTGAATGCATTTTGGTATCTAGACTTCAATACTGCAAAATGAAGTCCTGCATGAGCTTACCACAAACTTCCGTGTGTCTAAAAACTGACACTAACATGAAGCTTCTGTACTAGAGAATCAAAAGGGCGCAGCTATGACTGGTGAACTGTCAATTAACACTTAGGCAGCAAGAGCAAGATCAATTTTTCCACCTCAACTACTTATAAGGTACTTATTTATTTGAAATTTTCCGCATGTACTCTTTCTTTAGATTCCCAAACTGGACTACCAAATCATCATAGTCAGGAAGCTTTGGATGTACATGGGCAATAGGAGATCTGGGAATTTCTTTTGTTTCCTTGACGTGACATTCAGCCTTGATATCTTTGTCATTGTGTAAACATTGACCCCCGATGACTTCTTCATGTTGAGAAGTGTTCGTGGCAATTGCGGTATCATATCTTGCATCTACTGAATCTGGCTTGATCAAGTGATCACACTTTTTATCAGCGGCATTCGTGTTGGAAGATCTCTTAAAGCTGTTGGAGGAGTCCAAAGTAGTGTATTCACTCCCAGTCATAATATCTTCCCCTTGCATATGTAGCTTTTCCCTGTCATGGAAACAGAGTGGGGCTGCCTCTATTTCAATCGGTTTTCCGTCTGATCTAATACTTTCCAAGGAATCGTCATCACTCTTCTCTTTGAATGTAACTGTATTAGCTGCTTTAGAGGCTACATAACCTGCAGTACCATCTGAACTATCAGGAAAATTACTCCAAAAGGTTACCATATCCTTGCAATCTTGCAAGGCAAATTTCGGTCCAATGTCAGGCAGCATTTCCTCGAACTTTTTGGGTCGAGTTTGATCTTTAATGCCATTATTACCATCATTTGAGAGAGGTCCAGTATCCTGCTTGTAGTCTCTTGCTATGTCATTTATTAATTGGATCTTCACATCTTCTGCTACTGACTTAACAACGAGACTGTGCTTTATTAAAGAGTTCACGGTGTTTCCTGGCAGAAGCTCGACATTGGCTCTCTCAAATTTCGGACCAAGAAGTCCTTTGAAAAGATATCTTAATGAATGCAGCTCTGGCAGTTCACCACATCTTGAAGCAGCAAATATCAAGCTTGATATTGCTTCACAAACATCAACAGGCAACTTTCTGCGGCAGTAAGTTGACAGAGAAAACAGTCCAACTATAAAAATGATTGCAATGCTCAATTAAATCTCTATAAGATGCTGGAATGAGCAAGACCGAAATCAAAATTAGCTTACCTGTCAGGTCTAATATCCTTGAGGTTTTTGACAACACAATCACAAAACTTGTCAACTTGATCATAAGCTGATAACTTAAGCTCGTCCTTGTGAAGCTGCACAGTCTATATCACTGAGTAAAAGTTAATGCAAAGAAAATTTCACGTTACCAAAAGGGAATATCAAGAGCTATGATTACCCTGGATAAAGCAGCCTTATGCTGGCCATTTTGGAGAAGTTCAGCAATATCAGCACGCAGCTGCCTCATCATGGCATTCCTCCTGTTCTTTTGGATTGCTAAGCTTTGCCTCAGTTCCTTGATCAGTTTTTTGCTGTGGTAAAACAAGAATGCGGTTCGAATGGTGTCACCACAACTCAAAACTCTTAAACCCCATAGACTCAGTATTCATCTTAGATTTTGGAAATTGGGAAGGAGAAAAATTTTTATTGAAATGCAACAAATAAAAATTAAAATAAAAAAATTTCTTAGGTTGCTATATTGTGTAATAGTATAAAATAAGGAGGGTTTCACTAGCAGTTAAGAAAGATTGTAAATTAATTGCAGACCTTTTCGTCTTAGATACACTTGGCCCAATGGGCTTGTTGGATTTTCCCACCTTTACTACCCAGATGCATGTTGAAATTTTAATAAGAGGATAAACAAGTAAAAAATTTGTCGGTCAAAGCCTTGGCATGCAAGTAAAATGGCTCAAAAGCGGGTATTAGCCTGTTGAACTTCCTTTCATATGCTTCGCTTTTTTCTACAGCAAAATGGAAGAAAACTTGATGATATAGACCCAAAAATGCAAAGATAAAAGGCATTAACCTTTAGCATTCTTCATATAAATTACAAATTCTTACTGTGAATATATCACAGTAAATTATCACAAAAAATATAGGCCTTGTTTGGCAAGCAAGTTTTTGATCAAGTTTGTCTGCTACAATTTTTTAACAACTTTAACTACAGTAATCTTAAAAAATTTCTCAAATTTTTTAAATTATACACTTCAAAATATTCAAAAAAATTTTCTGCAACTTTTATAATAAGTTACAGTAAAATTTTAGACAAACACCCAAAAAACTCACTTGCCAAACGAGGCCATGATGTCCAGTAAAGAACTGTAAATGAATACATCAGGGTAGCGAATATCAAACAAAAAGGCAACATTAACTCAAGTAAATCAAGTTCTTTCCCTCAAAAAGTACTATTTGCATGTGATCGAAATGCTTTTTTCGATCTCAATAATATCAACAGACCAGTGTTAACAGTATATAATTGCAAAAAATGTGTTCTGAAGTGCGTATATAAGAAAGTATATAGAATAATAATGGTGAGAAAAATAAATTGATCAGCAAGGAAAAAAAACAATGAAACACAAGCTGAGGCATGACTATTGCGTACCACTTGGAGGCTTTTCTCCATCTTGAGCCTTTGATCACCTCAAAAATTGCGCAAAACGCTTTGAATCCCATCTTCGCTTAGTAGACCTGGGAACGCAATTTAAACAGTGGCATATAGAAGAAGAAGAAGAGGAGAAGAGGGAACAAAATTTCATGGAACAAACAATAAAGTCATGATACTGTGCTATAAAATCTTCTTGCAATAGATAGTCATATAGTAAGAGGCCAAGGAAACTATTCGTGGTTAGATTTATATAACCAGCTGCCCCGTATTTATTTATGGAGAGTCTTTCCATGCTAGAAATATTACCCCTACGTACGCAAAATCTTGATCAAATGTAGAAACTGTATCTCTACATTCCTTTTAGGCTTCTTGAATTTCCTTGGTGATATTATTCTCTTCCACTACAACCAATATGTGCTCATAATTCTCGGGTGAAGGATCACTGGGCATTAAGCATGTTGGACTTTTGGTTGTGCAGCTAGTACTCAAATTATTAGGTGTTTTAGAAATTAAAACCTAAAGTTTTTAGTTGAGTGTCATTCACATTGTCCTATATGGAAATACTCCATTTGGTTGTTTTCTGTTGTTCCATTTAAGATTTAGGCCTTGTTCTCGCTTACTTTAGATATATTTTGCAAATTATTATGATTATAGAATATAATCAGAATCAGCAAAAACTAATCTTTGATTGACTATGAATTTTACTTTTTTTAGTTATTAAAGAGTCTATAATCTGAATCAAAAGTGAGAATATCACAAAAATAATTATTCAAAATCAAAATCTATAATCAATTAAAATAATCAACCGAGGAAAGGTTGTTAGTTGATAAAAAAATTAAAAAAAAAAAAAATCTAAAGATTTGTGTTACTCCCATGAGCAAGTTTTGATCTGATGGATATTAGCCCACTAGTTATAAGACCACATGTGTCCCAATGCCAAACCACAAAGCATCGCCCCTCAAAGGCCCATACCTACAAGACATCCTAAGCCCATTAAAGTCCCAGCCCATTTTAACACAAAGCAAAGGGAACGTCTGGATTCAAATGTTTGCTTTCAACCCGGCCCAAACAGAGGAAAAAAAAAATTATGAGGACCAGTGTGCGTGTAATCATTTTGTACTTGAATGGATAGGGATGTACGCTAGACAGGACTCTTCACGAACACAAGCACAGGTGCATATCTATACTTGTACCTGTGCACACACCTAAGAGTCTAAGACTTTGTTCTCATGAGTTTTGATTTTCTCCACTTTTTTTTTTTCCAGAATTTTGAAATTAGTTAGTTAAATCTAATCCCAAATTTAACCCCAAAAACCGACAACTCTTGAGGTAAACTTGTATCGTTTGAAAATTCAATGTCATTTAATAAATTAGGATGTTTAATTTTTAGGTATCAAATGCAATTAAATAATTAAGATTTAAATATATTAAATTTAAGTGTTGAATTGATCTATCAAATAAAAGATTTTAAACATTGAATCTCATACTTATAAATCAAGCGACTAGTGCATCAAGCATTATAAATTCTTAATTTCAAATCCTCTGACAAGCGGCCCATTAACCAAGTTATAAGCATATTTGCATTAGTTGTAACTGTAAATTTTGATGATTAATGTGGGCAAACAAAGGCCTCAGGGTACTTAGAAAACCAGATTAGATTAGTTCAAAAAATAAAAACCAAATTAGAAAAGGCCATGGATTGAAGCGGCTACTACAGCGTATGACATTCGTGCAGAGAGTTTAGACGGGGTTTGTATTTTGTGCTGCTTAGAAGGCCACCGACAGGAAGAGTATGCTTCGTTGTCAACCGCTGCCACGTGGCTCCATCAACGAGCAGATCATGTGATCCAACGTACACCGCACCGCTACATCAGCCGTCAGATCCCCATTTATCTTTCACAAAAAGTTTTGCGTCACCGACACGCAATATCCGTCACAATCATCCCCCCGCCAATTACAGTTACTACTCGGTGGAGCAGTAACCGTCGGACCGAAGCAACTCATTTTCCACCACTTGTAGATCTTGTACGCACCCAAAATACAAGTAAATAAATTAAAATTGTCAGGGAGAATTTTGGCTGTCTGTTTTTGGTGGTCAGTAGCTATAGATGGTGGCTGGCGAACTGTTGGGTTGTCATTAGTTTTTGGTAAAAAGTCTCTCTCCTTCTGTAAGATAAATATTTTAGTAGTTGGTTTCTCTTCTTCTTGATTACTCAAATATTGAATTTTGTTGTATATTTAGTAGCCAGGTACGTAACGGGGGAGCTGTACATTGAGAGAAAAAGAGTGAGGAGGAGATCTGGAGAGTGTGAACTGAAGAAGCCTTACTCCGATGGCTTCAAAATTGTTGATGGTTACTATCTTCATATTTGATCTGATTGCTTTTGGTTTGGCTGTTGCTGCTGAGCAAAGAAGAAGCACTGTAAGTTGTGATTGTTTGTGGACCTTCTACCTTTTTTTTTTTTTTTGAGTCCACATTGCCCATTTTGCAATGCAAAAAGTAACAAAGATCTGAACTTTGCAAATATTGATCCGAAGAAAAATGGCTACGAGCAATGTTTATTCACTTGAACTGATGGAGACTGGAACGGAACGCTGTTTATTCACTTGAATGTGGTCGCTCATATGTTACGAATCAGATTGTTGCTGAGTTTGATTTACTTTGTAATTACTGCATAGTAGGGACTTTCCACCTCTTGGATTTGTTTGATAGGTTTAATTAATATCAAGAAATATAAGAGTTGAGTGAAGTATCAAGTACATGTCTAGATTCGGAGTGGCTTCGAAGTCTAAGGGGTAAGTTATCTACCATTTTGATCATTTGATTCATCCTGTTTATCACATAATCAAGATCCAGATATTGAGATTGGAATGGTCTATGATGCCTGCAGAACTATATCATACTCTGTGCAGCCATTCAAACTTTAGCAGTTCCGCTTTGTTCATGATAATTGAGAAACTGGATGCAAAAGATATGTCATGTTGCGTCGGACTTCTTGTCAAGGTTCACAGAAACCAATCACTAGAAGACGATGCTTTGCACAGAAAAGTCAGCTTAATTTGCCCTGTTAAATACCATTGTCTGACCTACACATGCACATCATCTCAAGATTCCTTCTCTGAAATTCAGCCAGTCTCTACTTTGACTTGTTTCATCTGTAAATGCTTACATATTACTTCCACAATTATTTCTAGCGAGTAGTAGTTTGAAATCTAGTAGATGTGTTGCCATAATCCGACTCCCACTGCTGGCGCGTTGTACATGCATGCTTTAGATTGTTGCTTCTGTACACCTGATCTATTGGAATCACCCAATATGCTCCTTTGGGTTCAACCAAAACGTAAGCTGGTGGACATTATCGTTATCGTCTGCTGTTTGAATAGAGTTTATTTTTGCTGCTCGAGATGGATCTTGTTTTGCAGACTTTCGAGTTATTCTGAAAAATGTACTTAATATGCTAAACTTTCATTTGAATTATGAGCTCTTTTCTGTCTTTTTTTCAATAAGCAAGCCCTTACTAATGGTCCTCTAATGTGCTTGTTGGCAGGCCAAAGTTACATCGGATAATGAGAAAGATTATAATTATTGTGTCTATGACTCTGATATCGCAACGGGGTTCGGTGTTGGGGCATTTTTCTTCCTCATGGCTAGTCAAGTGATCATAATGTTGGCAAGCAAATGTTTTTGCTGTGGCAAGGCTCTCAAACCTGGAGGTTCAAGAGCTTGCGCAGTCCTCCTCTTTATTATTCTCTGGTATGTTGCTGCGGAGCTGTTAGCTCCGTTTAATGTAATTGTTATAATCTAATTGGCATGATGAGAAATGCTTTTCTCCATTATCAATACCACTTACAACACAAGTTGGTGTTTGAAAGATTGATGGTTTTATTATCTTCTGCAAAAAATTGCTATGATTCAGGGTGTTCTTCCTGATTGCCGAGGCGTGCTTGCTAGCTGGTTCAGTTAGGAATGC